GCCCTTCAATTAACCCCACATGTGTTTATCGGCCAGGTTGGCACAATAAACTAATTACCGCAAATTACAACAGCACAAGAGAATCTTATGAAAGAAGCCAGGTAACAAGGGGTGCTTCCTCTACCACTGCAGGTAAATCCACAGGGAACAAATGCAAACAGATGGTTGCCAGGAATTGGAGGTGGGGTGGAGATCAACTGCAAAAGGGACTCAGAGGTAATTCTGAGGTGATGAAAATGTTGTATATCTTGTTTGTGGTAATGATGGCTACAGCACATTTGTCAAAACATTGAACTACGGACTTAAAGTTGGTTTGTTTTACTCTATAAAAATAGGTTAAATTGATGAAAAGAAACAAACAAATAAATAAACCTTTTATTCTTAGATGTGAAGCTCTCCCATGCCACATTACTTACTGTGCTTAACTATCATGGTCCAAGACTGGTCACCCGACGCCCGGGCGAGTCCTTCTCTGCTTGTTTTGTATTCCTCTGTCTTTTTCTTCAGGCATGAAATATACTGGAAATTAAAGACATTGGATTGCCTTCAGAGATTAACTACCATAATGATTCATTTCATCATTCAGCGAACATTTCTGGAGTCTATTCTGTGCCAGCTACTGTGTGAGTTACAGTGACTATAATGGTGAGCAAAAAGCACCCTCCTGAGGCTTACATTTGAGTGAGTGAGATGAAAGATTCTACTCCCTACGAAACCTTTTGCCATCCAAATAAAGAGAACATTTTAGACCTAATTTTTAACTGAAAAAAATCATTTTAAAGTCTTCTTCCATTTTTTATTATTTCAACAACAAAAATGTGTCTTGTGCAAAATGTGTATGTAGTCAATGCCACAAAGCAGTACTAGGCCGGAGTGGATGGAGTTCAGTCGTAGGACCTAAGGTAGATGAGTTACAGAATCAAGAGACTCCATGGATTCGTTTACTTGAGTCAGATGCGTCACTGGGTTAGATGATGTGTTAGCAGTGGCTTTGATGATAGTGGTGTTTTCAGTATAAAGGGCGTGGCTTTGTGTTTCAACCTGACAATGTTCCTGATAGACTCCATGGCTTGAGCCCACCGTAACATGGGTGGGAGAGTATTTTTGCTTTTTAGTAAATATTGAATAGATCCAACTTCCTGCAAATGTCCACATTATCCATGGTCAGTTTGAGATTTGCCTATGGATTTTAAAACTAGTATTACTGACTTCAGAAAAACAGAAGCCATAAAGCTGTGTTCAATTGAAAAGTAAGCTGTTCTGTTCTTCATTTGCCTTTAAAACTTTCCAAAGTTCAAGAGGGAACCGAATACAAGGAACTATATGTGACCTCCTCCCTGGGGGATGCACAACAGAAAAGTGGGTGAAGGGAGACGTCGGACAGGGCAAGAAAAGACAAAATAATAATTTATAAATTATCAAGGGCTCATGAGGGAGGGGGAAGCAGGAAGGGAGGGGGGAAATGAGGACTTAATGCCAGGGGCTTAAGTGGAGAGGAAATGTTTTGCAAATGATGAGGGCAATGAATGTACAAATGTGCTTTACACAATTGATGTATGTATGTATTGTGATAAGAGTTGTATGAGCCCCTAATAAAATGATTTAAAAAACCCAAAAACTTTCCAAAGTTACACAACAAAACATTATCTAACACACATGAATGCATTAGAAATCTGAAATGTGAGTGAACCTGTGGATTGCACCAATGCCAAGTTCCTGGTTTTGACATTGTACTATAGTTACATAAGATGCTACCACTGCAGGGGACTGGGCGAAGAGAACAAGGAATCACTCTGTGCATGAGTAACTATTTTCAACAAAAAGGTTTTTCTAATCATCAGAAATGCAAAGACTTCCAATTTAAAGTATCTTCTAATAAATTCACCTTTCTTCAGATAGTCACAAGTTGGAGGGAATGGTGTTTTCATTTTGAAGCACTCACATCTCAACTTGTACTAAAGTGGAGTAGTCCCTACCTCTGTGTAGGGAAAACATCTGTACATTAGTCTGGTTTCACATAAGGTGAAACACATATAAGACAGAATTTGTATAGGTTCTCTCATTCATTTAATGTTGGTGTGACCCAGGATACTGATCACCACAAAGCAAAAGCCTCCGTGCCATTGAGTTGCTTCCAAGTCATAGAGGCCCGACACAGGTTTCTGAGACCGTAACTCTTTAAGGGAACAGCTGGCCTCATCTTTCTCCCTTGGAGCAGTTGGAGGGGTTGACCTGCCCCCCTTGCAATCAGTAGCCCAACACTTAACCCACCAGGACATTCTGGACTTAATTTTCCTCTGAAAAAATAATTTTAAAGTCTTCTGCCCTTTTTTATTGTTTAATTTTCTTCTTCTAAAAAGAAGAACATTCTCAGCATATCTTAAATGGAAAGAACTCAAGAAAAAACTCAAGCCTGGAGTTGTCATATCGAAAGATTCTATGGGCAAAATATTGAGTGATGCACGGAGAATCCAAAGAATATGGAAAGAATACAAAAAGTCACGGTACCCAAAAGAACTAGTCGACACTCCACCATTTCAGGAGGTAGCATATAAGCAAGAGCAGTGATTCTGAAGGGAGATGTTCAAGCTGCATTGAGAGCATTAGCCAAAAAAGGACCCCAGGAATTGCTGGAACACCGATTGAAATATGCCAGCAAGCTGATGAAGCACTGGAAGCACTCACTCGTCTGTGCCAGGAAATTTTGAAGATAGCTACTTGGCCAACCGAGTGGAAGAGATCCATATTTGCACTCATTCCAAAGAAAGGTGACCCAACAGAATGTACAAATTATAGAACAATGTGAGTAATATCACATGCAAGTAAAATTTTGCTGACCATCCAACAATGGTTGTTGCAGTACATTGTCGGAGCTGCCAGAGGTTCCAGCCCAGATTTAGAAGAGAACGTGGAACAAAGGATGTCATTTTTTAATGTCAGGTGGGTCTTGGCTGAAAGAGACTACCAGGAAGATGTTTACTTGTGTTTTATTGACTATGCCAAGCCATTCAACTGTGTGGATCATAACAAACTATGGATAGTCTTGAGAAGAATGAGAATGTTAGGGCATCTCATTGTACTCATTTGGAACTTGTACATAAACCAAGAAGCAGTTGTTCGAATAGAACAATAGAATACCAATGCCACATGTTTTAAAACCAAGAGAGGTGTGTATCAGGGTCACATCCTCTCACCACACTTATTCAATATGTATGCTCAGCAAATACTTAGATAAATGGGATTATCTGAAGAAAAATTTGTCATTAGAATTGGAAGAAGGCTTGTTAACAAGCTGCAGCGTGCAGATGACAACGTGCAGAGGACCTAAAGAACTGCTGTTGAAGATCCAGCATTAAAGCCTTCAGCATGGATTACACCTTACTGTAAAGAAAACCAGAATCCTCACAACTCGGACCAATAGGTAACATCATGATACATGGAGAAAAGATCCAAGTTGTTAAGGATTTCTTCTATCTTAGATCGACAATTAATGCTCATGGAAGCGGCCGTCAAGAGATCAAAGAACACATGGCATTGGGCAAATCTGCTGGACAAGCCCTCTTTAAAGTGTTGACAAGCAAGGTTGTTACTTAGAGAACCCAGGTGCACCTAACCCAAGCCATGGTATTTTCAACGGCCTCCTATGGATGTAGACATTGGAAATTGAATAAGGAAGACCGAAGAAGAATCAATGCATTTGAATGATGGTGCTGGTGAATACTGACAGTAGTATGGAGGGCCAAAAGAACCAACAAATCTGTCTTGGAAAAGTACAGCCAGAAGGCTCCGTAGCGGCAAGGATGGCTAGACTTCGTCTCACGTACTTTGGACACGTTGTCAGGAGAGACCAGCACTTGGAGAAGGACATGATGCTTGGTAAAGCAGAGGGGCAGTGAAAAAGAAGAAGGCCCTGGGCAAGATGGATTGACCCAGTGGCTGCAACCACGGACTCCCACATAAGAACGTGTGTGAGGATGGGATAGGATTGGGCAGTGTTTGGCTCTGTCGTATAGGAGGTGGCTAGGAGTAGGAACCAACCGGCTGGCACCTAACACCAACACTGTGGAACCACAGGCAGATATGCAACTGGACCTGAATGTGGAAAGTCAGCCTGTTATTACGCAAATCAATGCTATGTGGCACATATCTGTATTTCTTTAATATCCTTTTAATTTCTATATGGTTAGTAGTAATGGGTATTCTTTCAAATTTGATTCTCCAGAAACAGGTCTGGGCTCTCACCTCATGGGGAAAAATAAGCTCAGAACTGAATGGACTCCATAGGACCTAATGATAAAAACAGCCTAAGCCGGCTCCTCCCCAGCCCCCCGGGCATGAAAGCAGTGCTCTTGCTCCGAAGCAGTCTACACCACTGGATGCCCAATTCTTAACATTTATGATTTGGCTACTTTTGTGAAAGTATTTTATGCACCATCAAAAACCATTTTCCTGAAGAGCTGTTCTCTCCTTTGTTCTAAGTACTGTAGGCCTAGGAGATCAACCAGAACCCATCTGCAAAGTGAGATGCCCTTGAACTTACTGCTTTTAATTTTTCATTTTCTGTGAGCAAGAGTTCTGTTATAAAGTCGTGTGCATAGATTTCATTCTCTAAGTTCTTTAGAAATTCAAAGTGTTCTTTGAGTTTAGTGCTTTCTTGCTCTCGTAAATATTGTACATCTTTCTTCACCATATCCTGTTCAAACATAAGATCCACAGTGAACTCACAGAGGTGAACAAACAGAACGTCTGGGCCACATTCAGAGAGGATTTCTAACTCATTCCAGAAGCGTCCGATAGAGGCAATGACATCTCATGAATTCCCCAGGCTAATTCCTAGAGACTGACCACGGAGTCTGGGAAAGGGATCCGTGATCACAAAACGAAGGGCTCCAGGGACTGAGGCAATTAAGGAAATAGACTATACTTTGATACACAAACAACTGGCCAAATCAGGAAGAAAGCGGTCAGTGTATTGTGATTTTTGTCACAGAAAATTTTAATATTCCTTAAAGGAAGAAGAATATGGAAGAATTTTTCAGAATTCTCTACCGAGCTATTCAATCCTTAGTTATCATATGTTATAAACCATATGCTCTTTATTTACCATATATTTTTCACTAGTAATCACTTATTAAGAAAATAGAACTGTAAATGAATTAAACTCATAAATTTCTCTTCCTATTTCTCCCAACAACATGTTAAAGGCGATCTTTGATATTAATGGCTCTCCAACAATAGGATGGTTCCACTTTTGATTAGCCACTACTTATCGCTGTTTCTATAGGAATTTCACAGGACCAAAGATCTGAGAAGAGCCATAGAAAGCATAATCCAATCCCTTTGCCTTATAAAAAAAGAAACTGAGCACCCCTAAAACTAGGGAAATTTTCCATAGTTACATTTGGTCAGTTCTAGAGTCTACATCTACACACCTGCCCATGTGTACCCCTCTACATGTATGTATGTATATATTTGCATTTCTATATGACTCAAATTTTAAAACATTAGGGTTAAAAGGGTAAGTATATGTGAATTTTGTAAGAACTCCAATAGTGCCAGGTAACTAGAATATTACTATCTGTAGGTGCCAGTATTCTAATCAAAGAAAGAAAAAGAATGCATTGACCGATTACCATTTGGCGAACATATCTTGAAAAATCTCTTGTTAACTGAGAAATATTATTACTTAATAGAGTCTCATCATTCTTTTGTGCTGTAAAAAAGAAAGAGGAAAAAATAACTACCTACAGAGTACTTTATTAAAAAACAATTAAAGTAAGCCATTGCCTGATTTTTATGGTCATCTTATAAGACGATAGCAAAAATCAGCACCCAGGTCTCTTAACTCCTTGGAAGCAACCTTTTGAAACGCATTTAGATTTCTTTTGCGACTTACCTCCATTTTCTTAAACTATTTCTTGCTCTGTTATTTTAAGACATTTCAATTGACTTGCCAATCCGTTGCTGTTGTCAGATGCCATCGAGTCAGCTCTGACTCATCACGACCCGTGGACAACAGAAAGAACCACGGCCAGGTCCTGCACCACCCTCACCGTCGCTCCTATGTTTGAGTCCATTGTTGTAGCCACGGTGTCAATCCATCTCGTCAAGGGTCTTTCTTTCTTTCCCACTGCCTCTCTACTTGACCAAGCACAATGCCTTTTGCCATGGGCTAGTTTCTCTTGATAACATATCCAAAGTATGTGGGGTGGAGTCTTGCCATCCTTTCTTCAAAGGAGCATTCTGGCAACACTTCTTCCAGGACAGATTGTTGTTCTTCTGACAGTCCACGTCACTTTCAATATTCTTTGCCAAAATCAATTCTTCTTTGATCTTCCTTATTCAATGGCCACTTTCCACATGCACATGAGGCTGTACTGAACGCATTAGTCACAAAACAAGGATCCACGGTGTGAAGGAATACCAGTTAAAATGTTACAGCAAGATGATGAAGCATTGGAATCACCAGCTTGCCTCTGCCAAGAAATTTGTAAGGTTGCTACCTGGACAGCTGACTGGAAGAGATCAATATTTGTACCGATTCTGAAGAAAGATGACTCAATGGTATGCATAAATTATAGAAAAATGGTTGATAACATGTGCAAGCAAAATTGTGCTGAAGATCACCCAACAATGGTTGCAGCAGTACATTGACAGGGAGCTGCCATAAATTAAGACCTGATTCAGACGAGGACAATGGAGTAAGGACTATCATTGCTGATGTTAGATGGTTCTTGGCTTAAAGCAAAAAGACGTTTACTTTTGTTTTATTGACTACACAAGGACTTTGACAGTGTGGATCATAACTAACATTCACAATCAAAATCATGAATGGGCTTGAGAAGAATGGGAATTCCAGAACACTTTATTGTGCTCACAGGAAAACTGAACCAGGATCAAGAGGACATTGTGCAAATGGAACAAGAGAATACTGCATGGGTTATAACTAGGAAAGATGTATGTCAGGGTTCTATCCTCTCACCGTACTGAGCAAAGAATCATAGAAGCTGGCTATATGAAGAAGAAAACTGAATCAGGATTAGAGAAAGACAACTGGACATCCCTTGCAGAGGGATAGTGGGGAGGAGATGGGTCACTCAGGGTGCAGTGTAGCAATAATGAAACTCACAACCTTCCTCTAGTTCTTAAACGTTTCCTCCCCCCAACTATCATGATCCCAATTCTACCTTGCAAACCTGGTTAGACCAGAGGATGCACAGTGGTACAGATGGGAACTGGAAACACAGGGAACCCAAGACAGATGAACCCCTCAGGACTAGTGGTGAGAGTGGCGATACCGGGAGGGAAGTGGGGGTAGAAAGGGGGAACCGATCACAAGGATCTACATATAACTTCCTCCCTGGGGGATTGGCAAGAGAAAAGTGGGTAAAGGGAGCCACCAGGCAGTGTAAGATAAGATAAAATAATAATTTATAAATTATCAAGGGTTCATGAGGAAAGGGGGAGGGGAAAAAGGAAAATGAGGAGCTGATTCCAGGAACCCAAGTGGAAAACGAGTTTTGAGAATGATGAG